TAATATCCTAATGATTTTTGGCATAAAAGAAAAATCGATAATTTTGACCCATACAATGAATTTTTGGCTATTGCTACAAATATACCAGCGCTACTTATGACTGGTTTTGTGATCCAGGGTCACATATATAGATGGATACATAGATAGATAGATAGATAGATAGATAACAGTCCACCCTACTGAATGAAAAAATATTGAGATTTTAACCATTCAAGCATGCATGTTGGATTCTCGTCTTGCTTAAAATATAAAAAATGTATATTAATATTATATATTAAAAATAATAAAGATATTCCAATGTCCGTTTTAAAAAAATCTTGTATTTTTTTTATTTTCTTGTTTATCTTAATATATTTGTTGTACCTTGAGCAGATGCCGCACTCCAGGCGGTACCCGTCCTCGGAGAGGGCCAGCCGCAGCAGCTACCAAGATCGTTATCGTGAGCGGGACAGAGACAGAGGGAGAAAACCTCGGCATCGCCGCTCACCGACGTTTTCCTCCAGCAGTGAACGTGAGAGGAGAGGGAGAGGACACAGACAGGATGCCGGCTATGCCAGATCCAGGAGGTATGATCGTGTACTGGAAGCATTGACCAAAATGGTCAAATTTGCATGGGGTTACCGGTGCTTGATGCCTTACACAGTTCAAAAAGGCACATGCTGACAGCAATTGAGGCAGATTTCCACTAAGCCGAGTAATGGGATTGTCAACCCTTACCACAGGAACATTAAATTGACACATTGTCAGTTTAGTTGTGCTGTAAATTAAGATTATTATAATATTTTTCTTGATTTTTTTTTTTTTGTCTGGGAAATATTACAATAATAATACTTCCTTTTTTTATTACTTAGTAATAATAATAATAATAATTATGCTTTTTAATGTGCATAAAAGGCAAACACTGTATTCAACATTGATAAGACATGTTTCTTGCACCGAATCAGCATATTAGAATGATTTCTGAAGGATCATGTGACACTGTAGAGACTATAGTAATGGCTGCTGAAAATTCAGCTTTGCCGTCACAGGAATAAATTTGTTTGTTAAATATATTCAAATAGAAACGTTGTATTACATTGTAGTAATATTTCAAATATTCCTGTTTTAACTGTAGTTTTGATCATAAGACATTCAAAAACATGTATATAAAACAACATTAAATTCTTAAATATATTATTATTATTATTTAGTGCTGTCAAACGATTAATCGCGATTAATTAAAAACAAAAACTCTTATTTTGGATGCGATTAATCGTTTGACTGCACTAATATTATATAATTTTTAACGAAAAATTTTCTTCATTTTATTAACGCATGGTACTTAATTGCATTTAGTAGTTCTACATGAGATATAGTCAGTAGATCCTTTGCCACTTTTTTTGAATTGCAAATGAATCATTTATTAAATTTGAATATCCTCAATTTGTATGCAATAGACTTTATTTAAAATACAAATGTTAAAACTTCTGATTGTATGGTAATCAGAGGTTCATTTTATTATAAATTTTTAACAAATTTTAATTCAAAACCTGGTAGTATGCAGTGCTCACTTGGAAGTCATTCAGTGTTAAATGACACTCATCTTCTCCCCAGCTACGACAATCGCTCTTCAGACCGCAGGCCTTACGACAGACACTACGGCGAGAGCTATCGGCGCCTGGACCACAGCCGGGACAGGGATCGCGACAGGGAACACGGGACGCTGAGCAACTACTACTCCCGCGATGCCTCGCCCAGCTACGACTACCGCCGGGGCCGTGACCGGGAGCACGAGGACTCGTACCGGAGGAAAGGCAGCAGGCGTAAGCACAAACGAAGGCGGCGTAGAACCAGGTCCTATAGCCCATCGTCCTCGGTGAGTACTTCAATACCCGAACCTGCTCTTTCCCACCCCCAAATCCTTTCTTCTATCTCTACCTCTACACGCTCCTGTCTTTCTTTCTCCATAATGCTTTCTTTTCCACAGCCCCAGGATTGGGTAAGTATGAACTCCTTTGTTTTATGTTCTTCTTTTTGTTGACGTTTTGTCTTTTTTGATAGTGATAGTCCAAGTCTTGGCTTTCAGTGTTAGCCCCATCTGTAACATTAAATAGTGAGACTCAATCCAATATACATTAATGTTAATACAAGTAGTGAATAGCTTTGTTGGGAGAGCCTCCGTAATTAATATCTCATAACTTTCATCCATTCTTTATCTTGCTATATCTGCACACCTATATAACTCTTTCACACAGTTTAGATGTCACAAAAGAGATTTTTTTAAATGAAAGCATATAAAGTTGTTTCATAATTTCAGCTCTTTTTCATTTTATTTCCAGTCTCCCACTAGAGCAACATTTTCTTTGGAGATGTTATGGATGTAATAGTTGTGAATTAGCAATGCCTTTACTCATGTGCTGTTCTGTGAGTAAATGTTGATGCAGGTTGCTTTTTGTGACTTTTTGTCAGGGTTGCTAGGCAGAGGGATGAGGGGAGTTTGAAAGCAAGCAAGCAAGAAGGGAGGGGTAAAATGTTATCTTTGACTTGATCCCTTGCACTATATCCCTATCGTTATATATATCTCCTCACGTGGTGTCATACGAATCGCCCCATGACCACCAAACCTACCTACAACAACTACAACACTGCTCATCTTCGACGCCGTGGCTACGGCTGCCCCCCTCCACTCTCCCCGCTCCGCCCACCTCCCCTCCTCCCTCTGCGGTCGTGGTGTGACCTCTGACCTGTGACCCTGGCCGGGGCCGAAGCAGCGGAGTGACAGCGGGACGAGGGCACTGTGTGTGAGGGACGACGAGGAGGGTCACCTGATCTGTCGGAGTGGCGACGTCCTGCAAGAGAGATGTACACACTGCCACTACTACTACTCCTCTACTCCTATATATCGTAACCTTTCTCCCTATCAGTACCAGCACACAGCAGACACACACAGGGGAGGGCAGGAGGTCATGATCATGATGTTGGTGGTGACGATGACGCTGTAGTAGAATGTTCTCCCCTTTTGCCGGAACAGGCAAGGGGGAAGGCATGTCCAACATGTCTTTAGTAGCTCCTTTATTTATTCTTTTCAGTGGGGTTGGGCTGTTTGTGTTGCTGTGTAGAAGAATTATGATCCTTTTTAATTCCTGACTGCCAGGTTCCCAGATTTAGCTTTTCCACGTCTCTATAATGTGCGTTTTATTCTGGTCTTGTTGCAGCAATTGGCTACATCAAGATTCACATTACGCCTATGCTGTCAATCATTTAGATTTAAGGATACGATTGCTCTGTGACATTCGCAATATTTCCATAGTCACTGTGCGTGTCATTTTTCATAGAATATACAGTCATTTTTACTTTTTGAATTCGCTTAAAGCAGTCCCATAGTTTTAAAATCGTTTAGTGACTTTTTTTTTTTATCTAATAAAGGCCGCTTTTTAAATTTTTTTTATTTATTTATTTTTTACAGAAATGTAGACTATTTTTATTGTTGGAAAAACGTGCCGTTTTTTCAGACCATGTTTACATTATTCCTTTCATCAAGTTTGTGCATATTGCCACTTGTCTGATTGATTTATTTTTTTAGGTTAACCCGTATAGATAGTCACAGTTTTGGTTAAAAATGTGATTTTAGGAAGCTTGTTTAGGATGGCTCTTTAAATACGCTGTCTAATTGCTCTCTTTACATCTCCCCTCCCCTTTCTCTACATCTTTTTCCCTCTATTTGTCTCTTAGATGAGATCGTCAGCACTTTGGGCGAGGGCACCTTCGGGAGGGTGATGCAATGTATTGATCATCGCAGGTGAGCGTCATCACTTGGCAACCAATCAGCTGCTTTATTACAAAACCAGCATGGTGTGAACTTCAAACGAAAAAGTGTTGCTTGGCTGTTAAAATGTCTGTCTAGTTGTTAGGCTGGGAAATATCTGCTCTTGGGGCCAGAAATGCAGTGTGTGATTATTACAGGCAGCAAGAAAAGCAAGGGCTTATGGTTCCTTTAACAAAATATTCAGAAAAATAACCATCCCATCTTTTGCCAGTGCTTTTATTGCTCTATAATGATTTTATTTGTGTCACCCTACAACAAACAAGAAATCTATTCACCATAGTCTCATCAATGTAGTTAATTTCTTCTACTGCTTATACATGCTTTCAATCTTGTGGGCGGTTAGAAAGCTAACTGCCAGAAGTGAAAACTGCAATGTTTGAATTAATCCTCTTCTGCTTGGTTAAGGGGTGGAGCACGTGTCGCTCTGAAGATCATCAAAAATGTGGAGAAGTACAAAGAGGCAGCCCGGCTGGAGATCAACGTACTGGAACGTATCAATGAGAAAGATCCTGAGAATAAGAAGTGAGTTTGGATCAGAATCTTTATGAAATTAACATTTAACAAAATGTAGCATGGTTTGAGCAATCGCATATGCAGTACTTAAAGTATAGCGCATCTAGGTGCAAACTTACCTTGAGGTATACCGAAGACCACAGTTTTGGTAGCTTGTTTACTAAATGTTGTATTCTTTTCTCTATTTCTCGATTCTTAGTCTGTGTGTCCAGATCTTTGACTGGTTCGATTATCATGGCCATATGTGTATCAGTTTTGAGCTGTTGGCTCTCAGCACTTTTGATTTCCTCAAAGAAAACAATTACCTGCCCTACTCCATCAGTCAAGTGCGACATATGGCCTACCAGATCTGCCTAGCTGTCAAGTGTAAGTAAACACTTTTTCAAAAAGCTCATTGAAGTTGGACTCCATTTGCTATGTACTGTATTAAAGGGCCAGTCCTACTTATGGTATTTATGAATATGCTGATTTGTTCCGTTTCTCCTTATTTGCAGTTTTGCATGAAAACAAATTGACCCACACAGACCTGAAACCAGAAAACATTCTATTTGTCAACTCTGACTTCACAATCACATACAATGTGGAGAAGGTAATGAAAGAGTTTGTCAATATTTTTGTGTGTGTTAACATTCTAGCATAAGCTGCTGAAAAATCTATTAGTTGACCACTAATATAGATTAAAAGAAAAAATGAAGGAAATGCATGATAATTGATGCCCCCCAATCTTTCTCTCTGTGGTAGAAGCGGGATGAGCGTACTGTGAAGAACACTGCAGTTAGGGTGGTGGATTTTGGCAGCGCTACATTTGACCACGAGCACCACAGCACCATTGTTTCTACCAGGCACTATAGAGCACCTGAAGTTATTCTAGGTAAGGACGATCATGCCAGGTGACTGACCAAACGGCATGTTTAAGCAGCACACAATGCTCTGAATGTAAATTTGAACTAAATAACTGGTATTAGCATGAAACGTGACTATTTAAGTCACAGGACAAGAATGAGTTAATCGCTGCAGCAACACAGATTAGCTTCTTCCTTTCCACCTCAAAGAATTTAATTAGAGCCAGCTAGAGACCACAGTTACTGCAGGGAATTGTCCCAACGTAAGACTGGTTTCCATGAAAGCTTATACCCAACCTTAATCTGTTATGAAATATTATGTTATAAAAAATATGTTGCTTTGCTATAAATATAAATGAGTTAGTGGGCACTCTTACTTGTATGTACACTACCTATAAAAATGTTTTTGAAAGTCTCTTATGCTCGCCAAGGCTGCGTTAATTATTTATATTGTAAAAATATTATAATTTAAATGTTTTAATATATTTTAAAATGTACGTTATAGCTGTAATTGCAAAGCTGAATTTTCAGCATCATTATTCCAGTCTTTTGTCACATGATCCTTCTAATCAGTAATCATTCTGATATACTGATTTGCTGCTCAAGAAACATTTCTTATTATAAATGTTAAAAGCAGTTGTGCTGCTTTAGATAAATTTAGTGTGTCTTTGCTGAACAAAAGTATTAATAAAAAATTTTTTTTTTTAATTACTGACCTCAAACATTTTCAATGGTAATGTATAGATTTAATGCACCTGCACTCCTTGCAGAGATTCATAATTGCGATTTATTCACGTTTTTGCAACTTTCGACCTTAACAGTTTGCACACTTGCTGCTGACTAAATATACTGTACAGTGTCCTGGTTATAAGGTTATGATGCAGTAACATGATGTCACCATTAGATGACTCCATAACTCAGTATTAAACCCAGTTGTTTTTTCTTGCAGAATTGGGCTGGAGTCAGCCGTGTGACGTGTGGAGTATAGGCTGCATACTCTTTGAGTACTACCTCGGCTTCACTCTCTTCCAGGTACAAAATCTAACTCCACTACTTCCTTTTTCATGCCAGCTTTCTGAGTCATGACAGCAGATCTACACAGTCTACTAACTCTTGTTTATGTTCACTAAGCAGCTTAAGATCAGATAGACTCTGACCAAAGGGTTACAGGTGTGCACATAAGCACACTGAAGCCAAACACCTGCCATTAACACGTTGACCTCCGATGCGCTCACTAATGCTCTCTCTTTCTCACGCACACACAGATATCTGTACAGGAACATACAGTATGTGTTGCACCTGTATTGTGAAACCTGACAAAACACAAAACAAGTCTAAATGTATAAAATGTGTATCTAAATCTAAATGTGTAAGAGTCAAACTATGTCATGTTTATTCATGTTAATTTTTTATTTTTGCTTCTCAGACTCATGATAATCGGGAGCATTTAGCCATGATGGAGAGAATTTCGGGCCCTGTTCCTTCCCGTATGATTCGTAAGACTAGGTACGTTTTTGACACTGATTGTAATTTTCTAAAGCCTGTCTTCTAAGTATAGTTTCCATGTCTTTCTTGCTTGCATGCACAGCAGGTTGTGCAACTAAAATTATTTCTCCACCCCACAGGAAACAGAAATACTTTTATCGTGGACGTCTGGACTGGGACGAGAACTCTTCAGCAGGAAGATATGTCAGAGAAAACTGCAAACCTTTACGGGTAAGTAACAAACCGTTTTGGGCCTTCATATTTAAGTTTTCTGATTTGTCATTTGATTTGACTTTTTTTTTTTCGTACACTTTTTCATTTTTTAAATATAAAACTACAGATATATATATATAATATAAAATAAATATATATAAATTAGTTTTTTAATGTGTATATAAATCTGGGTGGTCACATGACACGTGTTCTCATACAATATTCTATATCGTCCTTCTCTGTCTCAGAGATATCTTCTGTCTGAAGCTGAAGAGCATCACCAGATGTTCGATCTGATCGAGGCCATGCTGGAGTACGAGCCGACGAAGCGTCTCACTCTAGCTGCAGCCCTGAGACATCCTTTCTTTCAGAGCACCATCAGCAGCGCTGACCAGAGCTCCGGCAAGAGCTGGGAGGGCAACCGCGACATCAGTCGGTGACAATGACATTCGTCTTCAACCAACGTCTCTGTCTTACGCCAAAAAACCCTGAGGACTCGCATGCCAAGAGAGATACCATGGAGCTGAACTGACTTTGCATAAAGTTTTCTAGTGAAGAGAAGTTAAATAAAGCAGAAGTATATGATTTCTCAATCATCTTCCCATAATGTGAGAACAGCTCCCGTGTGCAGCGGGAGAATGTGAGGAACTTGGGACATCTAGAAGATCCCAGTAAACTGTCATGCTTGTGTGATTGATTGGACATTTGAAGGATTTTTGAATAAATACTCCCTTCAGTTCAGTTCTTCCAGCCAATTGTGGCTAATGATATTTTTGGACAGCCATAAGAAGAGGAACATTTATTTGATGGGGAAAAAGCATTAACGTAACACTCCATTTGAGAAAGTAACTGACAAAACAGCATCACTTTTACAATATAGTTATTTATCGGGCAAATCTGTTTTGTGCATTTTAGCCCTTCGCTGGTAAGCGCAGATGCATCGCAACACACTGTTTGTATTCAGTTCAATTCAAACCAAGTAACGGAGCAGCAGTGTTCTGGTGATTGTGTCCCTCAGCACACATTTACAGTATTTATTTAGTGAACCGGACATCTCATTTTGTGTATTTGTATGGATTTGACTGTATAAATTTGTAAATATGAATAAATATATGTTGTGACTATAGAATAAAGGGCCTGTGTTTGCTTGCTGTGAATGTTTTCACAGCGGCTCTCCAGGCAAAATGTTTTTACAATCACATCGTTCTTGTAATGTTGTTTCTATATAGACTGTGTGCAGATGATATACTTTGCTGAAATGAAATTAAAATTTTGGCACTTAATTGGGTGTTAGTGCAGTGCTTTAGCTAGAGTTGAATGCTATGAAACTCTTCTGCACTTTATCATCCTTTGGCTTTACAACTCAATGATAGGAATCCCTCAGGAATCGTTTGATTGTATTAAATCTTAAAATGTTTTTCCATGCAGTCTTAATATTTTATCTCCAATGGATATGAGGCATGCATTTAAAGGAATAGTTTATCCAAAAATTAAATTGCATTCATTCTCAGGCCATCCACCATATAGATTTTTTTTTTCATGGAAACAGATTTTGGGAAATTTAGCATTACATGACTTGCTCACCAATGGATCCTCTGCAGTGAATGGGTGCCGTCAGAATGATTCCAAACAGCTGATAAAAACATCACAATAATTCACATGACTCCAGTCCATCAATTAATGTTTTCTGAAATGAAAAGATCTGTGTTTGAAACAGCCATTTTGTCTGAATTGGGAGATAACTATGAACAGATCATGAACTGTTTACAAATAAAAAAATTTAAAAAAGCCTAAAACAGTTCTGTACAAATATGTTGGTAGACTTTGATGTGAGAGGACAACAGGGAATTAATTTTTTCACTTTGTTTTGGATTAAGGGTTTGTATTTTGTCCAGAAAGTTAGAACACCTTAATGATGGATTTCCCTTCACACGATGGACTGAGTCGTGTGGATTATCGTGATGTTTTTATCAGCAGTTTTTTCAGATCATTCTGACGGCACCCATTCACTGCAGAGGATCCATTGGTGAGCAAGTGTTGTAATGCTAAAATTTTCCAAATCTGTTCCTATGAAAAAACTACTGTAACTCATCTACATCTCAGATGGCCTGAGGTTGAGTAAATCTTCAGCAAACGTTCATCATTCCTTAAAAATAATTGTAAAGATGTTGCAGTAATGGATTCTAAAAATATGTAAATGTATAAAACAAAAACATGTCAAGTCTAAGATATGATGAACGATGACAGAATGAAAGAATCCAGAGACGTATTAAGAGAATTGTTATTGGTCTTCTTTCATGGCCAAAAGATTTAAAGAGCACAGCTTAGTGGGTACACAACCACAGTAAAGCTTAACTTTTCTCTCTCTAACCATCCACCCAGCTTTATTTAGAAAGCATCACTCTAGCAGATGTAATCTACTACAGTCATTCCAGACCTACTGTCAAGTGAGAAACAGAGACTAAAACAACATACCCAACATACAAGCTAAATACAGTATTTGCTAAAGAGTGCAATAAAAAACCACAATACCACAATTCCACCTAACGAACAGCAACAATAATGTTCACATATAATTTTTCATGGATAATATTTGCGAGGCAATGGACAAAGTGTTCATACTAGAGTCTCTATGGCCCAATAAAATGTATTAGTAGAGAATAATATAATATAATATGAAAAATTTTGTATTGTCAAATTGTGAACTAGAAACAGGTTGTCTGAGGCTGAATAGTGTAACAGCTGTTTATGTTAAAGGTGACATATTATGCCCCTTTTTACAATATGTAATATAAGTCTCTGGTGTCCCCAGAATGTGTCTGTGAAGTGTCAGTTCTAAATACTCCACAGATCATTTATTATATCATTTTGAAAATGCCTATTTTGAGTGGAAGCAGAAACACGCTGTTTTTCGGGCCTGTCTCTTTAAATGCAAATGAGCTGCTGCTCACTATTTATTTTTTTAGTGAGCGAATGTTTAAAAATGCTAACTTGATGGCATTGCATTTTGTCTCAACAGCAATATTAGTTTGATGCATAACAGGCCGCAGATTAGATGAGTCAGCCGTACGGCTTGAGAAGGCCTTAGACTTTCTATCACGTGATAAAACCGAAATAGAGAAAACTACAGGCACACTGGGTTCCCGCTAAGTTAATAGGCTATTATTTATTATAGGCTATTAATTAATTCAGTGCATTCGACCTAAGGATACATTTATTTATTTGTACATTGTAAGTAGCCTGTAGTAGATACGTGATATGTGATTATCACATGTAAATAGCATGTTTGCACAATGAATACAGTAGGCTATAGATATATAGGGTTGGTAAAATGTTGTCTCTTATGCTCACCAAAGTTGCATTCATTTGAATAAATACTGTATTCATAAATACTGTATTTAAATATATTGTAAATGTAAAATTCTAAAATTTTAGTTCTAAAATGTAATCTTCATACATAGAAGATATAAAGATACATACGTAAAGATACTTAAAACATAAAAATGTTTTTATTTTTATTTTGCATTGTTGTTTACTATAAATTGATTGGTCTATCTGATTTTTTTCTAGGTTTTAACGCAGCCTGTGCTTACATTTATTTATTAGACTGGGTCGTATGAAACTGGAGTAGCTGAAATACACTTCTTTACTGAAATATCTTCAATCTTGAACTTCAGTATCACTTTGTTTGAGAAAGACTCAAGTTCATTAAGACATGCTAAAGGAGAGATGGATGCCGTGGTGAAGAAATCCCGGGGTGCCCCCTTCCGACAGCTGACCAGCTGTGTGAGGGGGGATAAGGATGGATTTAGACGGAAAGGCAAAACCGTCCGCAGGAAGAGCGCCCCCTGCTGCTACGGTCAGACAGCACACGACTCATCCTGGTTGAGGATTTACCAAACGGAGCTGCACGGGGAAAGGTACAAAAACACGCTTATAAAATTATTGGACACTTATTAGCTGATCTTTATGGCTTAAATTATAATGTAATTGTTTGTATTTTGTCTGAGCAGGAAACTGAGGCAAGTCAAATTTGCGCAAAGGAACCGCAATGAGGGCACATTACACACCGCTTCACGAAGGTACGTTTGTGCTCACTTAAAAATTATATTTGCTGAAACAAAAGAATACAGTGGCTAACTTATAGTAGGCTATATGTACATCAGGCACCTGTACAGAGGGCAAACATAAACATAAACATAGCAAGACCCCCACCAAAAGTGACAACTCTCTTTTTGGCGCCTTCAAAGGACTCAGTCTCAATATGAATGGAGCACAAACCTCCATAACAACACCACCATATGCAGATCCGTGTAAAGTCATGTGACCAAGAAAACCGTTTCAAACGACTCTAATGATGGGACTGTTATCCAGTATAATTCCTGCTTACCAAGAGGAAGTTCCTCAAGAGCGCTGCTGATTAATAGGCCTATCAGTTCAATATCTGAGGCGAATTATGATCTACAGATGCTGCATTCCAGGAATATAATCTGATTATGGTGTATCATGATAAGATATCATGATTATGATAAGTCATGAGACCTCAGTGAAAATCGGTGTTTAAAATATAAATAAAAAAATATATATATAATTAAAAAGTCTTTAGTAGCTATTTAAAAATATGTACAAAACAAAGAAATAAATAGATAATTAATAAATATTTCATATTTTTCACTTTAAGCCCCTAACTAAAATCAGAAAATAAATTTGAATGGTAAATTAGAAAAGTTTTCACTGGTGGTCTCAGGCTCATTGTACAGTATGTGTGGTTTATATTTATTGTCTCCATGTTTCTGTACCTCTTTTGTATTTTTCTTTTGAACACTCAAGTTCACTGAGGATTTACAGTAACAACTGAACTCAAATTTGTTTCTCAGATGGCTCAAATTACACTGTAAACAACTAAACCAGTTATGACTCTGGCTTTCTTTTGCGTTAAAATTTTCCAATAAAGATGATCTACATTTTATCATTTTGCAGATAATTTTACCTGAATTTTGCAACATTTTTCCAGTTACCTACTGTATTTGAAAATTGTGTTTGTCAAAACGCCCTGGAGCTGTATTTACGTAAGACAATTCAATTAGTGGACACACAGTACAACATTGCAGAACATGAGCCAGCACATTTGGCCGTGTTCCCCACCTCTTTGTAGAAAGCCTGTGTACAGCAAAGGCCGTGTCTTTAATTATTTCCTCTTGCTTGCCAAAGGTAAAGCATCTCACTTATACTCAGACTCAGAAACACGATACTCAGCACTTTGCAGGATTGACAGTCGTCGAAACAAGATACTATACGTTGGACTCACTGAATTTACTGATGCCCTGATGTGAGCAACAATAGGCCTGCACTACACTATGCAAGAATAAACAATGCTACTAGTTGTCACACTTTTTATGTTATATTTTTGTATAGCCTGATACCTTAAAGTCTTGGCTACAAAAAAATGTTCCACCATTTTTGCCCAATAAGTAAGGTACAGCTCATTTACCACAACTTTTCCTTTTATGAACCCATATCATTACACATAGACTGTATGGGGTAAGTTGTCACAATTGTAACCTGCAGTTTGACACTGATTTGAGAAACCTATTTGAAATATGAAATCTTATATTTAAATAGGCGGGCTATAGCTTTCAGCAAATTTTAAACAGTAAAACAATTAATGAAACTTCAAGAATGGAAAAGGTAACATCCAAAAAATATCCAACCATTGTTTGGGGTAAATTTACAGTTAAAATTAAAGTTAATTAATTTAGAAAGTTACAACAACACACGTGACAACTTACCCCAATAAAAATGTGCTCTGACCTGACATTCATGGAAAAACAGTCTCATCTGAATAAATTAGTAATTTCCTTTTAATGTCCCAACAACTAGCAAAAGTATATTCAAATTTAATTTGGAGGACAGAATTCACAAAATTATTTTTTAGGAGGGTTTTGAATTACATTTTGGAAACCAGCAAACAAAACCACTAATGAAAATGCAAACCTTTAAAAAAATTATTTACAAAAAGTACAATATATTTTAAATAAATGCATAAATCAATAAAATGTAAATAAAATAAAACGTGTATTATAAATACATTCATACATAGCCTACTACATTTTTAAATAGTAATACAAAATCTTATTTTTTAAAAACATTGTTTAAATGATATTATATAGGTATTTTAAATAAATATATTTATACATAC